CAAATATTCACACGGTCAATACGTATTGCTACAACACCTGAGACTGGATTTGGTGGCTGTGCACTGTGCAAGTAAGTGTTCTTCCATGGCATGGTGCTTGTATATCCACTCTGGCCTACTTTTCTTTTACACTAATCATAAAATACATGTACTTCCAATCTTACCTAAAACATTTCGTACGCCAGCAGAGCAAATTTGCCAAACTTCTCATCAAATAGTGGTATTTGTTGTATAGACTGGTTAAGGAAGCTAAAGTTCAATGCCCGAGTGCTTAATCTCTTTACTCGTTTCGAACTCTTTGATTACTTTGGCATAAATGTTACTTTCATTAATCTTGCTTTAAGCTTTATTTGCCCTAGTTAATTCTGTGTTAGCACTAGTCGTGGTCGTTTATGAGTGTTTGGCGCTAAGTATTTACCAGTTTGTGAAAGTTGTATCATTGGTACCTTTTTATCAAAAAGAAGGTTACAAATTGTTTTCGTTTAATGCCAACTTGCCAAATGCCACGAGATTTCTTCGAAACTTGGAGTGCCATAACATTAGGTCCACTATTTGGTATACAACTTTTGTTATTTATATACGCTTCTATTCGATGCTCTGAAGTTCCCAATGGTCTTTCCTTTCACAAATATATATAATCCATGGAGATTTTCTGTTTGAATTATTTGGCAGGCTCCATGATTTCAGCAAAAAGAAATTCAGTACCCGGACCGTGCTGCTTTGTGACCAAGTAAGTTTCCGAATCATATAGTGTTATATAAACCATGGTTTACCTCTGCGAGTGCTGATAGTAGTGCCCTTCCATGGTTTATGTACAGTGTAACTCCTGCTGTTTCTGTGTTTTGCTTCTTAGGAGGCAGCAGTGACAGTTTGGTTTTGTAATATAAGTCATTCATGTGTCTTTTTTGATGACCAGTGTGGTAGAGAATATCATGTTGGTTGCCTCAAGGAACATAATATGGCTGATCTGACGGTGATATTTCTAACCTTAGACATCTGGCAGAGTTTGTACCCGAAAACTAGCACCATACTAATGATTAACTTGTGCAGGCATTGCCTGAGGGAGCATGGTATTGTTCTACGGATTGTGTGAGGATTAACCAGACACTGCAAGATTTACTTAACCGTGGAGGAGAACCTGTTCCTACCATGGATTTAGATGTTATTAAGAAGAAACGAGAAGTGAAAGGTTTTAATGAGGATGCTGACCTTGATGTTAGATGGAGAGTTTTAAAGGACAAGAGCTCGGACGATAGTAAACTAGTGCTCTCCAAAGCAGTTGCCATTTTCCATGTGAGTTTCTGTTGCTTCATACTGGATGTTAAATTTTTTATGACAGTTGCCCGTTGATTCTTTGTCAAAACTTGGTAGAATTTTCAATAAGCTATGGTCAGGTATTGTGGCTCATTATGAATAGATGACCATGGGCCAGGACGCCAAACCCTGCCGTGTGTCAAGGTGGCAGCCAGGCCACTGCCTGTGTCCACATCAAGTCTAGGGTTTTCCGGAGTCGGATTATTAGGAAGTGATCTGGTGAATCCCTCCTATCACCTAGCTCTCACTTGTCTCCCTGGTTGCTGTCCACGTGAGCAGTACCGGCCTCCCTGCTTCCTCTCTGCCTCGCTTGTGTTCTCTAGATCCTTGCCCATAACACCAGGATATTGTGAAATCTACATTATGTTATTAAGAAAAGAAAGGGAAACCATTATTATACAGGATTGTGTGGAGCATATTTTTTTATAAGAGGAGTTGAAACATAGCCGAAATCTTGTTTTGCACATTCCCAATGGGAGAATATCTGGTGCAAACTCTCGGTGGAATAGTGAAAACCCACTCAAAATACATAGAAATTTAAAAAATTTCTCCAAAACTCCATAGATGTAGATGAGATGGTAACATGTAACAGACATGTATATAAAATTTCAAGAATAAACTTCATGTTCATATATTGAGAGGACTTACATTCCACCAAGTAGGGGCTTTGCATTGAATATCTTCCTATTCACCATTTCATGAGTAACTTTGAAGGCCTGCCAGTTTATTTAAGCAATTAAGCTACTATATAAATCAACAAGAAAAGTCTGACAGAATAAATCAGGCCCAACTTATAGAAGATGAAATGATTGCAGATTCTGCTTAGCAGGCGTAATTTTTGTTTGTTTGTTTACAATACCTGAGATGCATCCTTTTATCTATTTAGTAATCAGTTTTATTGATTGTCACTTTAATGTACTATATTGCACTTTTCTGCAGGAAACTTTTGATCCCATTATCCAGGTTTCAACTGGGCGGGACCTCATTCCAGCCATGGTTTATGGGTATGGACTAGTATCGGCCTCTTTCATTTCTGTCAGACAAAACAAAATTGTGGAAATTATATACTTTTGTTTCCAGGAGGAGTGCAAGGGATCAAGATTACACAGGAATGTATTGTGCTGTGTTAACTGTGAAGTTAGTTTTTGTCTCAGATTGTGTCTTGCTGAAAATTAATGATATTGTCAATCAATGTTTTTTTTTGTTACACAGCTCTAATTTTAATATTTTTATGCAGCAATACTGTAGTTTCCGCGGGTCTTTTCCGCATCATGGGTAGTGAAATTGCTGAGCTGCCGTTGGTTGCTACAAGTAGGGATAGCCAAGGCTTGGTAAGTTCGTCAAGCTATCGGATGTATTATGATTCAAGTTTTCATTGGACCATAAAGAATGAATATTTTGAGCATATGGAGTCTGAACTAAACAAGCTCCATGGATCATGCATATGTGCCATACATAGTTGCTCTGACACCACATACGAGGAGGGACTGCAAACATGCTGTATTGTCTTCATAACTGCTTAACCTTTGGCTTAAAAAAAACTTGCTTAGCCTTCGAAAGATGTTTTGGACTGGTAGATATATCATACTGGATGTTTTAGTTATTGGGATAGCGATTAGTAATTTGATTATTAATTTGAATATAACTGCACAGTTGGGGCTTTCCTTGTTGCAAAGTCATGTGCCGTTGCTGAGACAAGACCTGAGGTATAGCAACATTGATCTTTCTTTCCTTCTGTGAGCTGAGCAGGGGTATTTCCAAGCACTTTTTTCCTGCATAGAACGGCTGTTGGCGTCTTTGGAGGTGAAACATTTTGTGCTACCAGCTGCAGAGGAAGCAGAGTCTATCTGGACAGAACGTTTTGGGTTCACAAAGATAAGCCAGGATGAGGTTTGTATATGTTCCTAGGTTCAACTTTCTAGCATGCCTGAGGATGATGAATTAACTTGAGGTTGTAATGATGTACATATTGTTGAATGCTGCAGCTGCGTGAATACCTCAAGGGTGGGCGAACAACTGTGTTTCAGGGGACGTCAAACCTGCACAAGCTGGTCGCGAAACTTGAATGCTAGTTATGTGAGAATTGCATGGGAGGAGGAGCAAGGACATGAAGCTAAGAAGCAGCTCATTGTTTGTGTGCCTCTGGGATTGACGCAGATAGGAAAGGGGCACCTGATCCCTTTCTTCTAAATGTTGGTGAGCATGGTGGTATTGGCATCTTGATCTGTTTCCATAGCTAAAGGTGAAGAAGATTGTGTAAGATACAACAAGGGACAAGCTGCAAAGGCAAAAGCCAAAGCTGAGTGAATTTCAGGCACCTTATTGGGTGGCGGTATGCGTGTTGTGGGACCCGCTGTGTTTGTTGAGTAGGTGTTAGCTCGGGCTGGAGTGAGATGGTGACTGCATTTGTGTTCTGTTGGTGGGATTTTCACTGCTGAGGTGACTGTTGTATCTGTTGATATCTTCCTGTTTTATGATAGTGGCAGTGTGATACTAGGCTGTTAGGAGTGGGGTGGGGTGGGGAGGTTTCAAATTCAACGTACATCATGAACATGTGATTCCTCTTTATTGGTCTGACTCACCCATGGATGTTAGTGTGGATGCAATGTAGACATGTAGTGCAGCTGTTGTAATGTAACATAAGTATTGTTTGCCCCGCCTATATAACAAATTTGATTTGCTGCGAATTCCTTGAGGCTGGTGCAGCTTAGTGAATCGTCAAAGATAATCGGTTGTGATGGATACCAAACCGGCTGCGCTCCTATCCACCTCAATTTACATTCAATTCATGTATGTTGAAGCGAGTTAGGGTGGAATTTAAACTTGCACTACAATCCACTTCAATATATGTGGATTGAGGTGAATGTATTCAATATATGTGGATTGAGGTGAATGTAAGTGCATCCAATCAAGCTCTTAGGTGTTTTAATACATATATATATATATATATATATAGTTGTATTTTCTCTGGAAATCATCCACATGCTGCTGTGCTCTATAATGTGAACTTACGCAACTCATTTGAAAGTAGTTAAGAAATCTTCATACTTCTATGTTTGTAATATGCTTAGCTCGTCGATGGCGGCGGCTGCTGCTGCTTCCAAAAGTATGGACGGACGGAGCATGCTGTCATCTTGTCTTCTATTCTGCAAAAAATTTGAACTTGTGCAAGTAGAAACAAAAGGAGAATCAGCCTTTAATAACTTCTCGTTTTTATAGAATTCTTTCTGTAATAATATATTATTCATGTTTTCACGAGAATAGGCTTATAGGCCTGCCGATACTTCCAAAATCTGAAAGCTAAATTTACCCACAGAATATGGTTTTGCGCAAAATATGTTTACACATACAGTACTACAATGGACTTAGAGCGCGGAATTCAAGGTACAGTTATCCACTAATAGTGCAAGGTACCGCTGAGGTCCTGTCAGTGTTTGATGTAGAACGAGATACCGGTTGCTTCCTGTAATCCGGAAACCAGGCTATACCTTACCATGATCAGGCAAACATTCTCTTATCAGATAGCTCAAAATGTCCACAGGGAACCATCCTAGGATGAATGCTCGAGTCAAGAAAGAGAATCAATCAAGGACGTAACAAAAGAATACTTGCAGAGGGCCACAGTGCACGCTAAACAATGGTTCTTGCACTTTGCTCCTGAAGGTGAAGAATTACTGGATTTTATTTTATGAATTTTCAGGAAAGATCGTCTGAATGAATTTCAGGAAGCGCTCCGAGTAGAAATTGGGTTCCACGACAGATATTGACAATGAGTTATATTGGATGGACTTGTAAGCATGCTCAATCTTCTTCCTTATGTTGTACTCCTGCAAGATATCAATTATTCCCAGGTAGAGCACCACATCATACACCTGACCATTGGCCTCAGTGTCATTATCCTGAACCATCTGTTCTGCCCTTGCCGGCATGTTAACCCCAAGTTGGATCTGGAGCCTGATAAAATTGATAATTTCTAGTTAGCCTTACACTGAGCTGGCATTTTACATACAACAAATCATGGGAACATGCATATAACAACAGTATAACTCGCCTTGCGGTGCCTGGAAGCACGAGATCTACTTCCTCAAAATTTGCACTTGATGATCGAAGACGGGCTCCCCTTATATGAGAACCAATGACGACATCATTTTGATCATTGGCTCGCTGAACCAAAACCAGTCCTTCAGGACTGTTCAAAGCATCCTCCTCCAGAGCACCTATATGCTTCATACAATGTTAATAATAGGTAAAAGAAACGTTACTGGAGGAAAAGGCTTTTGCAAAAAAGATTTGTTTTATAGGAGTGCACATAGGATTAGTTACATTACAACAAAGCAAAGTTACGCAATCGGACTTGATGGCAAAAGGTTCCTCAATGCAGAGCATACTAAAAATTTCTGGGAGGACCCTAGGTGATAAAGGGCCCTTCCTGTACAGCCATGTTTCTGTAGCTATAAGATGGAGAAGATTGTACATGGAATCAACACTATCAGCATGCTTTTCCAGGAAAACTCCAGAGCAATCATGTTGTTGTGGAAGACTAGAGGCATAGTGAGCCAGTCGTAAGCGCAAGACCAAGCTCAGAGAGGGAAGAAATGAAGAGGTGACCGAGTGCTACAGCGGTAGCGATGGAGACAGAGGGGATTATGTTTCCATAACACTACCATGTCAGGAAAAAAGTTGTCATATTCATGGGCCAAAGGGTAAAATGTACATGTAACTATGTAAGCCAAACACCTAAATGCTCCTAGCTACTACGTAGGCAAATAAAATAGCTAAGCACAAAGGTAAGGTATGTCCTAACACTCATGTATTAAGCATCTTACTGAGGAAAACACTAAGTACCTTCTTCCGAAAGAACAGCCAGCCTATCTGGTAAGATTGTTTGATGAAAGGATGCCTGTGTCCGTAGGCTTTGAGGAGCCCGAAAATGAACACCAAGAAGCAAGCTATAATCCATTATTGCGTGATACTTTAGAAATTTGCTATCGGTCTCAATTTGCCTACAGATAAAAAGATGATTACACTAAAGGTCCAAACACTCCAATGAATACTGCGGCAATAGCATATAATTCTCAAGGTAGAATGCAAAGAAATAGTAGCAATTTTTTACAAACAAGGTACCAATACAGACAACAAATATGACTGCTCTAAAGCAATTAGAGATTTGGTTTCTTTTCCTTTCTAGTAGGAATTGTTTTCTCAGGATAAGTTATAATTGTACAGCTTCACAATATAATATTGAAATTGTGGAGAAACTTTACATCAAATGACATTTTGGGTTAAGCAATGTCAAAATTTATCACATAAACTTTTGGTAAGTGTAGCTGTTAAAAAATGACAGCACTGGACATCTGTAGGTATGAACATGACATAGTTCAGCTAGCATCTCTGGAATACAACTTTGCAAAATATTGTGCAGTGACGGTGAAATTCCTAGCTACAAAGGATGTACCTACTGGTAGAACAGCAACTACTTTGAGGTGCAATTTTCCTTGAATTACAACACAAAATATATATAACAGGTACAAAGTCATATTTGAATGAAAGAATCATAAAATAGCCCTTCATGGCTAGGTTAAAAGTTGCTAAAAGGGTAAAGAACCCCAGTTAAATTGTGATACATAGCTCTCCTGCGTGTTCAAGAAAAGAAAAAAAAAGTTAAAAGTTGCTTACGCAAGCAAAGTCTCCCGCCAAGAAGGCTCGAGATAAAATGAATAGTTTAGATCCAAGTCTTTCAGTGTTGTGTTCTCATCGATTTTTACTTTGTCTGTTGAGCGGCCTAAGGATGAACCTTTCAAGTCAAACCTCCGGTGAATTCTAAGTTCAGTGCAAAACATGTTTCCCATCACTACAAATCGGAACTGCAAACACAAACAACAGAATGCATTATTTTAGGATAAATGGCTACAATTTAAATCAGTTCATAAACCACTCTGACTGTTTAAGAAATGAAAATATGACATTAGATAAGGAATGGTCACCAAAATGACCTTTACTGTTACTACCCATCGGGGATGCTAGCAAATCCAAAAGAAAGGAAACTTATCATATTATGAAAACACTTTTTGTTAAAATCTCATAGTCTTTGCGTACACCAATGTTCAAAGGTTTTCTAAAACATAGTTGTGTGAACAAATTGTAAAACTTCATTTCTCATGTATCAGGTGAAGTAGCAAGGATGCATGTGATAACCTTTTGACCGCTGGACGGTTTAACCCTGTGGAGGCCAAAAAACTTAGTTATGAGTGTGTTCTCATAGGTACGGACATGGTAATAATACTCTGGAAGCATTTGTAGAAGAACCTGCAAGAAATTTTTGACAGTTTAGAACTCAAACAATTTATCCATAAAAAAGTTTGAAAATATTACTCCATGACAACAAGTTGAGTAACAAAAAGGCCATACTACATTTTGTCATGAAACAAGTTGAGCACCAGGGCTAGATAAGCTAAAAGTTCTGGATCACTGAATATATCCAACTTTTTATCAATAAAAAGGAATTTGGTAGAAGATGGAACCATGGTCTATATGCTTGGTCCCATTTCTGTTTACCAAAACCATATGATCCACACAATTTACTAACTCACATAATCTAATAGGATATATTTTCCAAAACATATTAATAGAATACAATGGTATAGCTTGGGATAAGAAAATTTGGCAGGAGGCATTGCCGCATAGAAAACTTCTAAAACCATTAAATAGATATGAAAACCTGCACTTCAGACTTCCGTAGAGTCTTGATCATAAATCGATCATCCTGAGATAGGAAGAAGACACTTCCACTCTTTCCAGGAGAAGATAGTTCCCTAAGTGCGTCACTTCCACAAATGGAAATCATATAATCCGCTGCATCAATCTTGAACATCTCCCTCAAATTTCTACACAGATACACAAGTAGATCTTATTAAGTTCTGAAATACAAAGCAGTACAGGTACTTATCAGGTGCCCAAACAAGGAAAAATTCTCATTGTTATGGTCCTAACTAAGTTACTTCAATTGTTTTTCTAAGCAAAAGACTATATTGTTATGATCACTATAAGTTATTCTCATATAATCTGTAGAGCCTCATGTTCTTTTCACTGAAGTTGCTTAGGTTCACAACCTTGATAATGGGATACCATGCAACAAACCTGAACACCATTGGGCAGTAGTCTTTCCATTTAAAATTATCAGCATGATGTGAAGGAGTAAGCCGTGACCCATTTTTGGGGAAGTTCATCCAGAAACTTGCTCTGGGACCATAATCAGAAGCTCGCACTTCACGTCTCTGAATAGGTGTAATCTTTCCAACTGTATACCTGAGTATAAATGTATAATCACATTAAAAACTTCAGTGGTCACAAAATCATTCAGTTGGATATTTCAATAAGACAATGCCCTGTTGATAATAAATATATTAGAACATTCTGATACATTTTCTATACCATCGAGAAACAAACTCCGGAATGTCAATAACAGTTTCTGTAGAAAAAAGGAATGTCAATAACAGTGAAATTCTGTAAGACTTGGAGCTTCCCTTAGTGCTTTAATTGCCCTTACTATATAACCAACTATACGGTTAACCATCATTCCAATTCTCTATTATGAACTCCATCTAAAAAATCACATTTTGAACAGCACTGCACTTCAAGAACTACAGAAATATATTGCTCTTCTGCTTTTTTTTTCTCAAACACACAGGAGATCTGTGTTATCATTTCCTTAAGAAGAAAGGGAAAGTACATAGGGGAGGAAGAAAAGAACTCTCCACCTCCAAGGCTCCAACACACCCAAGGGCCAAGACACACAATGACACAACCAACACACCCAGAACCAGACTATCAGCCAGCAAACAAAGAAGGGGACCAGAAAAGACTACCAAAAAGAACAGAGGATCAAATGTCCACTGTGAGCAACCTTACAAGGAACTCCTGGAGATCTTTGGCTCCAGACGAGCACCACAAATGCACTCATTTGTCACTGTTTGCATTACCGTCATGACACTTGGCTTGCTCTTCCACTACATTCTGTCATGCAAACATGAACAAGATAATTGACACTGTTTTGTATTATGTAGCACTTGCTTTGTTAAAGCTTATGATAAAAATGTCTGAAGCCATAACTTCTGATCAACTATCAAGTTCGCATTCCATATGTAAACCTCTCACTCCAGCACTGCTAATCTTAAGTAAAAGTTATGGGTTTACAGACCACCCAATGGAAAGACTTAGTTCTCCAGCAGAAAGTCGTTACCTAACCTGTCAGTTATGCTCTACAATTACTTTTAGATGACAGATACTAATTTGTGCAAGGTAGAGGCATCCTTAGCATTTTGTTGACACTGCAAAGACAAATTATTCATAACTATTTTGGTAAATGGAGGTATATACATGCAGTTCATGCACAGTAGGTGGCTTATGATATACATTCTGGAACCCTGCATATGGGTTAATACTATTTCAAGCATTTAACAACATATAATGGAGAACAATGATAAGGAGTGAAATAGAAAGTGAAGACATTCAAATATCAGTTCTCTTGGTGTCTCATTGTATGAATTACCTGATTCCAAGCTGCAGACTGAGCATCACATCATAACTCCTATGTCCTTTAATTATTGTCTGCCCAGTTTCTTAATATCCTTCACCATTTTCTTCTGGCGGCGTGATACCTTTTTTAATGGATCTGAGAAGCTTCTATCCACCACAACCTCATTGATGAGAACACCTTGCATATATTCCCGTTCCAGTATAGGAAGGTTGGAATCAGCCTTATTTTCACAGCTTTCAATTGCAGAACTTTCATTTGTTTCACGACCAATGAATTTTTCAATGGCCGCTCCAAGGCTCCACCTTCTTTCCAGTGATACATTTCTCGAGCGAGTTTTCCCAAAACTCAAGCTTCTAACAGATGGAATACCTACAGAGTCCTGATTTTTGCTAGCCATCATGCCTGCCATGTCAAATGAGGCGGAGTGAAGGATACGAGAACCATGAATCTGACTTTCAGCACCAGGCAGTACACCTCTGTTTCTTAAACCGTCGATGTATAGCTCATCGGTAACTGGAATTCCACGACATTTTGGATAGAATGTGCCTTTTCCATCCTTCAACCCCCTTGTCCAGGTTCCTACATAGTAGCCAGAGTCCTTCCATGTGTAGACTCCATACCCATGCATGACACCATCTAACCAGTTCCCTTCAAATGAATCCCCATTGTTCCATGTGAGGATTCCTTTGCCTGCCATGACCCCATTTTTCATGGTGCCAACATAAGTGTTGCCATCTGCCCAGGTATAGGTGCCATGCCCTTGTATTTCTCCTCCATGCCCCCAAGAACCTTCAAAAATGTCTCCGTTGGGATATGTCTGTAAACCAAGGCCATGATTAAGATTCAGCTTCCAGCCTCCCTTGTAAGTGGAGTTGTTTAGCCCAGTATACGTTCCTTGACCATAAATGTAGCCACCGGAGTAGTCACCTGTGTAGGTGGCCCCTGTCGGCCACAGCGTCTTGCCTTGCCCATGCCTGAGGCCTCTCCTCCAGTCACCCTCATAAACACAACCATCGGACCAGATATAACAACCTGAGCCATGTGGCGTGTTGCCCGATAACGCGCCACGATAAATATCCCCATTGGGCAGTATAAGCTCTCCATCTCTAGAGTCAGAGTTTGTTCAAGAAGCATCTGAATGTTGAGCAAGCTGCAAGGAGCCCTTGTGAAGATTGTAAGGAGGCTGGGTTGTTCCAGGAAGTAAGATACCAGCATCTTGAAGCTCATCATGGAGAAGAGCCGCAGGGGTGGCCATGCATACAGCTCACAGCTCAGCAGGGGCTGCGGCAAGAAGATAGATGCTAGAACAGGCTGCACAAAATGATGAAAGTAAGGGATTAGATGAGTTACAGTGGCAAGTGGTGGAAGAAAACAAAGTCGGCGAGATCTGCTTGGATCTTGGGAGGGAGGAGACAAGTTACTACTACCCTTTTGCAATGAATTGCGTACACTAAAAAGTGGTGAGCATATAGTAGTAATAAAGAGATAAAGTGATCTGAATCTGATCCCCGTCCCCGTGCCGGAGATTGCGAAAAGTTAACGCAGCAGCATGCTGATGAAAAACAAAATTGAAACTGAACACCCTGCCTGCACTCGTATTCTGTTCTATTGATTTGATTTGAAGGGAGCAGCAAACCCAAATAATTAGTTAATTAACTACTCAGGTAATGGATTTGAAGGGAGCTGGCTGGATACAAGGGGGCGGGGCGGGGCAGGGCGAGGAGTGGCTCTCCTAGCAAGGAAGGAAGGGCGGCGCCGGTGGGGAATCGAAGCAGACTACTACAGTAGTACAGCTAATAGAGGAATCCATAACCATCCGGGTATTGGTTGCCTCACCTCCAGGCTCCGGCTGCCGGCTGCCTAGCCGGCGTGGTGGTTTCTTCCGCCTCGGCCCTTCCATTCGGCGAGTGCGGGGGGGCGGGGCAGGCGGGCCGCGGGCAGCCGGCGAGTCGTCGGCGACGGCGGAGCGGCTGGCTAAGCGCCTAATAAGGTAGAGAGGGACACGGGGGAGTGTCGGTTGAGGTTTGGGCTGGACTGGACTGGACTGGGCTGGGCCTTTTTTCTTCCCTTCCTTCTCCATGGGAAAGCTGGTTTAGGCTGGCCGGGGCCGAGGCCGGGCTTTGCTTTAATTTATTTTTTTACGAGCAAAGTAAAACAACAATCTACGTACGATACGTTCTCATATATATGCGTGTATGTGTAATTTTGGATCTGATGGAGTATTCGTCTATCTATCTATCTATCTATCTATCTATCTAATACATGAGAAAAAAATTACAAACTTTTGAAAAAAAATCCATGAACCAATAAAGATGTATGGCATGTGTATATGCATGTATTCCATATGAAAATGAAAATGATGACCATGACCACGCGATCGGCGTGGTACCGTACCTCCGCCGACGACGGACGGATTGATTGATAATGGATCGCCGGCCAGCCGGCCGGACACAGTACCAGCTGCTGCTACTCTCGATCGATCTCTGTCTAGCTCATGCACCGGACGGAAAACCGTGCTGAGATACTATAGACGATGGCCGATCTCGGATCGGAGCGAGCGGAGCTAGCTTACAGTAACAGCAGCAGCTTCCGATCGATCCATCCAACACCATGCATGCATGTACAGGTAGCTTGCTACTGCTAGCTAGTACTAGTACATACATTGGCGGATTCAGGGCCTGGGCTGCCAGGGCTGCAGCCCGGGGCATAGCCCAAAATCTTCAGTAACAGCACTGCTATGCAGTGTAAAAGGAGCCCAAGCAAATAGCCTTTAGCCCCACTCGACGGTGCCGAAACATAGCCTCAGCGTCTCATAACAGCTCTGCATTTGAACTTTAGCAAAATTTCTAACCTTCTAAAAAGTGTATGTTAGTAAACTTTCTAGCCTACAATAATTTAGCCCTCCTCCTAACCCATTTCTGAATCCGCCACAGCATACATATACCCTCCATGCATGCATGTATTAAACAAATATATGCATGCTTGCGCTGCTGGCTAATGCTAATGCTAGCTAGCTGGTAACAGCTTTTTCCTTTTTTTTATTACAATGAATACATCACGTACGCCCCTTACCTTTATTGTCGTTTTTCTGCTTTACTATCTTTTCCGGATACATATGATCAAGATCAAATAAATATTTCTTCCACTCACAAATGCTTTACGCTTAACAATATAATAACCAGACTTTATAACCTTTGATGACTCTGGCCTTGTTTAAGGGAGATTCTGTCAGCTTTTGCATCTCAGGAAGCTCGAAAAGCTATAAGCTCCCCCAACTAGGGTACCTTCTTCTTCGAGCTGATAAAAGCTCCAAAAACTACACTTTATACAAAAGCAGAAAAACTCTAGTCTTTGGGGAGCTTTTTCTAGCTTTTGCTTCTCAAAAAGCTCGAAAAGCTAGAAATAAGCTCTCACGAACGGGGTAGTTTTTTCAAGTTAATAAAAGCTGGATTTTGTACCAAAAGCAAAGAAACTCCATCAGAGCAGTTTCCCGAGCTTTTTCAGAAGGTGCTTTTAGAAAAGCTACACCTTACTATCACCTCCTCTTAACTATTTAGTTTGAAAACGTTAAATTTACATGCATTTGCATATTTTTATTATTTGTCTTCAAGGACCATTATATTCTGTGTAATTTCACATATGTGTTGGATTTTATAATTAATGCATTGTATAATAATAATACAAAGCATTTCATAAGTTGAAGGTTAAAATCCATTTTGTATAATTTTTCCAATCAAAATACACGTTACATTTTAGCTAGGACAGAGGAGACACGGAACATGGGGAGTATACAAGCTTGCTTTGGGTATGCACCGATACCCCGCCGGTACCTTTGAAAAAGAGTCACCGAGCGATATGGAAAATTGCTGGCTGCCACCAGATCGATGGCTTTCCATCAAATCAAATTAAAACAAACAAATACATGCATCCACCGTACCCCAGCAGCCATTATATTTGTCAAATAAAGCGTGGGTAGCTCCATGTGAATAACTAAAAGTCGTCTTTAGTGATGAAAAGTTGATTTTGACACTAAGATCGACTACAACAATTTAAAGAGACATCTACGACCAACACCCCCATAGCAAAGACGACATAGCTAGTGGGGGATATATTCATGCATGCATGTATATATGCTCATCGCAAAATATAATAATGTAATATATAAATGCACCGTGATGCTCATCATCGAAAAACAAATTAAATCAACTTTTTATTCGCTACTATTTGTTAGCCAGAAAATTAGGGTATAAGGAGAGCATATATGTATCTAGGGCGGCTAGGGATTACTCAAGATACTTAATTACTTTCTCCATTTCAAATTATAAGTTTAGAGAGTCGATGCATCTCAAGTTTAATCAAAATTATAAAAAAAATTACAAAGATTTTATGACATCAAATAGGTGTACTTAAAAAATATAGTTAATGAAGAATCTAATGATACTTAGTTGGTATCCTAAATATTATTATTTTATTATATAAATTTGGTCAAACTTAGATACTTTGACTCTCCAAAAAAAAGTTGAAATAAAAAGTTATACCGAACAAAATAGGTATCGATACATGTGCTATTCTACACCCTAGGTAATATTCTAAACTGTTATACTGAACAAAATTCAGTAGTATTTATTAGTCGTGTGTCAATAAACGCGGTTCAGTTGTACTCAATATTTTATTGTTAGTTTTGGCTACTAGGTGGATAATGTGGCAGAACCGTTCGAAATAACGCACTTACGGAGGCGCTTGTCTTTCCCTAGACACTAAGCACCCCGAGAGCGAGCTACATCGATCGGATTCCGTCGAGCACACCCAAGGGAGAGCCCGAATAACCCATATTTTTCTCTTAGGATCCAATAATGAGAACGAGTTTACATTACTTAGTCCATTTCATACATCCAGAGTTCTTTGAAAATACATTATTACAGGACCAAATTCAGAGTGCGAAAATTAAATAGCGAAATAAAAAGAAACATCTATCGATAATATACAAGGATCCGTCTGTGCCCACTAGAAGAATCCTACACACAACGGTGTTTACACCAAAATTTGAAAGAAGAGTTGCAGGGACTCGAAAGCTCCTAAAATCATGTCGTCAAGGAATCAATTGTGTGCAGATCGGAATCAACTGATTCGGATGCCAAAAACTGGAATCGGCTTTCTCCGGATATCGCCAACGGATAACGACGAAGACTACGATTCGGCGCCAGGACGAAACATATAGGACTCTGCAAAAAAGAAAATATTAGAGTCTAAGTTATCTTAAGTTAGGAATGCTTTCTTTAAGGTCAAAATTTGTAATAAGTCGTGCTTAGACATGAGTCATGCACAGGGCCTGGGTATAAATACCAAACCCCAGCTATTGTAAAGAACAACCAATCAATCCAATATACAAGTTATTTACTTTTTCGGCTCCGGCCACCCCTTAGGAGTAGGAGTAGAGTAGATCTCGGTGAGTTCCTCAGCAAGTACGACTGCATCGATCCGGTCGACCTCCACTGCTTGTTGTAAGTACCGTCATAGCTTATACCTCTGTTCATACGGTTGCATCGATCCGATCGACCTCCACTGCGACTCTGGTATAAGTTAGCTATCGATTCTTGCCTAGTTCAAGTATGACTGCATCGATCCGGTCGACCCCCACTGCATGAACTAGATCAAGATCAAGTTATCGGCTCTACCTTAGGATGACAATCTTTGGTAGATTCATTAAGTTACCGATATTGCTTATTGCTTTCATTATTTATCTAATTACAACAATATCATTCTGCCCAATTGGGATTGATCTAGATCGGCCTTATATCTTGTTTAGCCCATCGTTTGCTAACCTTAAATTGATCTAATCTACGCATTAAACGATGAGTTATGTTTTATCAGCTGTTTTATGTCAATCCTGATCGTGCATAGCATGCGGTTAAGGCATGTTGCATCTTGAGTAGATTTATTGGCTAGCGAGAACCGTTCCATGGCCCGTTATCACGGCCCGTGTGATTCTGCCTCACACCCCACTGTTAGCACCGTGGAGTGGGGACCGTTATCTGGTAGATCTATTCCTGATAAGACATGACTTTAACTGTGCGTTGTGCCTGAATCGGCTGTTTAGCCGATATCGAGCGCTTCCACGAACAGTTCGCATTATGAGACCGTTGAAGTAAAGATATGTTGAAAGATATGTTAGCCCCATGATCTTATTATTGTATTACGGCCTGCATGATTCTGCATCATGCCCCACTGATATTAATAATGAGTTAGTGTCATCGAATCTATTGTTATTTCTACGGCCTGCATGATTCTGCCTCATGCCCCACTGGTCATAGTGATGGATGAGATCTAACATGTCTATTAGATTTATCTTTATTAAACGGTTAAGTGATGTTGAATTGTTTCTTTATATAAAACGGGGTTCGGTTACTTGTAATCATTGGCTCAATACAAACCAATTATTATTGATATCTTATTGCCATTGATTAATATCTATTCGATCAATGATATTTGCCCTGAATGATAACCGATTCTTCTTATACAACCCAATGAGCTTTAATCGATTTATTCTCATGAATATGCTGGAATCGACTATTTAGTCGATTTCCTTTCATATCGGCTCTCATAGCCGCACATTCGGGACTGTCTGGCAACACCAGCAAGTTCCGCCCTTAATTACTGATGAACTTTCTCTTATTGTCAATTACAGGGTCAAATTGACTGGCACGTCTCGGGAGGAGTACGTAGGATTGACCACCCTTGCGCTGAAGCCAGGCAGATCTGCTCCATCGAGCGGACCCTTTCGACTTGCTGCGTGTGTCCTCGGCACAGGACAAAAATTCTGTGTCGACACACGTTTCTAGCACGCTCGGTGGGACACCATAATTGTCATGGCGGTTTACAACAACAACGACATCCTTATACTACATTATGAAGATCTACCTGATAGAGATAAGGGTATCATCAGCAAGGCTATAGAAGAGTTTTAGAATAAATGTTTGTTGTCCTACACCAAAACACGTGACAACACAATTGTTCAGAAATTTCCACTACCAAGAGTTCTGTTACACGGGCAGACGGACACAACTGAAGCTGAAGACAGAC